CGATAACAAAAATAACAGAAAAAATTATTTATATTATAAATATGAATATAAATATAAATACGAATATGAATATGGCAAACTAGATATGTAACACGATATTAACCTGCATTATTTATATTATGGTTGTATTTCAATATTTTTCAGTTGTTGTTAATATTTAGATATATTGGTAAAAGGTGTTTTTAATATATAATTGATATTATTTATTTATTTATTTTCCTTACTTAATAAATTTGAATGAGTAAAATGTAATTTGAAATGTCTTTCTTTTATTTAGTTTATTAGAATTTTTTTTTCATGTTGATTATTAAATGAATGAAATAAGAAAAATAAATAAATACTTTTAAAAAAGTATGATGTTAATTTTTAAAAAAAGAATAGGAATTTTTTTTTAAATGATAGTTTTTATAGTGAGAATTTTTTTAAAAATATAAAAAAAATAGAAATATAAAATTTAAAATATTAATTTTTAGAGAGAGAAAAATATATAATGTGTACTTTTTGAAAAAAATTAAAGAAAAAATAAAAATAAATTAATTTTTTTAAAATATATTAATTTTTAAAGTGATATTTTTTAAAAAATTTATAAAAAATAAAAATATAATGTTTAAAAATATATTTTTAGAGTGATAGTTTCAAAATATATTAGTTTTTAAAAGTATTAATTTTTAGAAGAAAAATATTTAATATTTATATTTTAAAAAATAAAAAATATAAAAAGTAATAACGAGGGTAATAATGTTATTTACATTACTAACTCCCTGACACCTTTCCTTCCCCCACTTCTATTAAACATTTAAATAAGAGTTTTAATCTCTCCTCTTTTCTCCTTTAAAATCTTCTCTTTCCTCCATCTCTAAACTCTTAAAAAAAGTCGTAAATATCAATAGAAGAAGCGAGATAAATTTGTTTTAAGATAAAGACTTGAAAAAAGAACATAGTGCACAATTTGTTTGAAAGGATGGGTCTTTAACTTGTTTTTTTTTTTTGGCCATGTCTTATCGTTTTAAAATAGAAATAAATGATTATAGTTATTTAAAAGTAAAATAAAGAGTTTTATATTCCAATAAAAATTTTCACAAAAATTGCACAGTTTTTAATTTAATATAGAATAATTTCAACAAAATAGAATGTTACCGAACTAAGTTAGACGAATGTCTCTAAAACTCAATTAGATTATATTTAAAAAATTAGAATAATTTAGTAATTTTTTATATCCCATGCAATTAATTAATTACACAAAATTAAGATAATTCATTTAATATTATGAATATTTTTTTATCCTAACATTATTCCTACTGTGAATTATATTTTTTTTCCTTATTTTCTTAATCTTCTAGCAACTATTTTTTCTTAATTATAGCGCAAAACACTGTGGGGATAGTATAAAATAGATAAAAATAAGTTTTAAAATTCAAAAATAAATTAAAAATTATTCTAAATTTTTTTCTTAAAAGTAGTACAATTAAAGTCATCGTGTTTTTGTTTCTAAAATTCTAAAACTGATTAATAGAACTTTACAATTTTGGTTACATATGTCCCAAATGTCAATGAGCAATTTGTTCATGATTTCTAGTCTTCGGTAATAAATCATGAAAGATAGTCATAATTCTTTTCAAAGGTCTTTATACTTGACTCTACAAAAATTTATCAAAAGACTTTGGCAAAAATGACGAGTATATATATCCTGTATCATTTTTATTTTTTCCTGAGGCTATCTGGTACATTTGGAAAAACAGGAACTCCTGGATTTTTACTTCTAAATATCTCCTTTCTAATATTCTTCATAGAATTGTGGCTACCATGGGAAATAATGTGCAAATTTTTAATGATCGTTCATTTTTTATGATCTATAATTCCAAAAAAGAGATCTAAGTTGGTTGGACCTTGCCCCCTTATGGTTTTTCTAAATTGAATATAGACAAATCAGTTTTGCTTCCTTGCTCCTTGGCTTCCAATGGTGGAATTATATGTTGGATATTTTATGAGTAGACTAACATAAATTAATTCATGCTGTAAAATTTTGTTTAAATCCAAATTAATTAGATGTCAAAATTATTGAATTATATTGTTTAGCCCATATTATAAATAATTATTGTTATTGGGCTTATCAGCGGATATGGTTGTATGGTTATTATTATTGGGTTAAGTCATAGTGGGTAGGTTTGACCCATTTGATTATTAACCAGAGAGGCCCCTGCTCCTAACCACTTCAGAGTAACTGTTGCCCTATTCAGACAGCTTACGTGAAAGATCTGAAAGGGTGATAGGAGGAGTTTTCTCTCTCTGTTTTGTGTCTCTTTCATCAATCATAGAAAGCACTCAGTCATAGACTCATCAACTTCAACTGTTCTGAGTAATTCTAACATTGATCTCATTATAGTATTTCTTTATCACTTGTCATATTAAGAATTAGATTATAATTTTTTCTTCATTATAAGAAATTCCATGAATAAACAAATTGAATGCTTGCCTTCAATCTACGGAGGGCTTCAATAACCAAGGTTAAATTATAGGGTGATTTACATGGTCTCCATATATTGTTGCAAAGTTGCAGCTCGAGAAGCTGTTGGGGGATATGATTCTAAAGTTATTTTTAAACTCATTACTTGGTTACCTCCCTATCTCTCGTTAGTGTTATTAGAAAGATTTGTAGAATTCTAGCTAAGAATAAAAATATTAAATTATTTCACAGTTTTAGAGAGAGAAATATCGTAGTTATTTATTTGGCTAAGCTAGGTCATTATCTTGATGTTGATTTTCATGTGTGGCCAAACATTCCTTTTCAAGTTAGTAATATTATTAAAGAAAACATTTAGGAAGTTTACTTCCTACGTCAAGTGTCAATTACTTAGTTGTTTTTTTTTCTTTCGTTTTTTGGGCTATTTAGACTTGATCTTAATTTTAAAAAAAAATTATTATTAGGTAAAATGATTTTAAATTTTTTAATCAACTTTAAATTTTTACTATTTTCAAAGAAAAATTAAAATAATAATTTTATAATAAAAAATAAATAACAGTAAAACGAGAATAACAATTAAAAGAATTATTTTATTTGTATTTTTACTTTGAAAATATTGCAAGTCAATATTATGATATTTTGTTCAATTTTTCATTTATAATTACTCATTTTTCATTTTGAAATAATTTATATGTTTATTAAATTTATTCTTTTTTTAAGTATTTAATACAACTGTATTCATTGAAACTTGGATTTGAGACCATAAATTAAATTAGAATACTTTTTTTAAGCTTATCCATATACTCAGTGATATTTTATTAACTATAGATGAATAATTTTATTTATAATTTTATATCTTATTTGAAGTTTATTAAAAAGTGTTCTTTATTTTATAATGAAACTTATGCTTTATTAGTTCATAAAAAAACATTAAAAATATTATGTTTTAATCAACAATTTGCGGATAACAAATACAAATAGAAAGTTTCAAGTAAATTACAAGCTCGTAAGCTATGTTAATAAAATAATCTTATTGATTAAATGCCTTAATTTGGTCAAATAAATTTATAATTAGTTAAATAAGTTCAAAGTTAAATTATTTGACATACAAAACACACTACTCTTACTGGAAGTAAGTATATGACTTATAAATTATGAATAGTTTTTTAATTGTTTGTCAATTTTTAAAATATGATAATATTTTATTATCTCTTTATTATTGTTCTTTGCGCTTATTTAATGTACACGATAGAATAATAAGATGGATAAAGATATAATATAATAAGAGAAGGGTAAAGTCTTATTTTATCTTAAATGTACATCATGACAGTAGAACATGTAATATTTGTCATTATTTTTAATGTTTAAAACAAATAAAAATAATAAATAAAATGAATCTTATATTTAAATAAAAAATTTCTCTTTTATTAAAATTAATATAATTTTTAAAAATAAATTTTATTTACATTTATTTACTTTTTAATATATATATTAAAATTAAAAAAATACTTTAATATACATATAATATTAAAATTAGATATTAAATTATAATAAATTTTTTACCGTTAAATTTTTTCAAGAAATTATAATTAGAACAAAAAATTATAAAATGTTTTAAAATATATATTATAAAATGATTTTTACAAATGTATTTTTAGATATACTTTTCTTAAAAATTATAAACTTTTAAAAATATATAATTTTTAAAAAATATTTTAGATTAAAAATGCTAATATAAAAATATTTTTTTAAAATATTTAAAATGCATAAAGTATGAGTAAAAATGTAACATAAAATAGTTATCTTATGATTCTTAACCCAACATCTCCGACAAGATAAAAGTTTGAACTATATGATAGAATAACTCGGTAGGCTAAAACTATATCATATCCTATTAATCAATAAATATATTATATCTTATCATTATATCCTGTTTACCAAAGAGACCTTTATTTTCAATAAATATATTCACACATAGTTGTTTTATTTTAAATTTCTTTTATAACTTATATTTCATCTAATAATAATTGTAAAAATAATAAATTTGTTCACAAAATTTAAATTTTTAATTATTATACATACACATGCATTCTTGTATAAAATACTTTTTTATATAGGTATATAATATGTATCAATTAAATAGTTTTATTGGAATTAATTTATTTATTGGTATTTAATTTTTATCTTGTTATGCCAAACACAGCCTTAACGGATTCCTTTCATAACAAATGTCAGATCAACCGTAATTTAATAGGAAAAAATGAATAAAAGCCGAAATTCACCCATCCTTTATTAAAAAGAAAGAATCGTGTCAGCAAAAACAGTAAAAGTGGCATATCTTGGGAAATAATTTGAAAGTGGTATAAGATGAGAAAATGCTTTTATAAAAGCAATATATATAAATGGTTGTCTATAAAGTGACGATGCTTTAACAGAGAGATAATTATAAAGTCAAACAGGAGCAAATTCCCCTCCTCACATCACATGTTCCTCCATCCCTCAACAACACAATAAACCTCTGCACATGCCTTCAGGAATTCCCCAACCCTGACCCTAGCTAGCTATTCTGGTCCCTATAAGTCTTGCCCCCACCACACCTTAAGCCTCACTGATTCCTATATATTCATTAGAATGCTGCAACACTGTTCGAGGCCATGAAAGAAAAAGCTTCGTTTTGGAAGCAAGCCAAGAATTGATCCAAGCCAGAGAAACCATACTCTATTAGAGAAGTGGGTCTGCAAATCTCACTGTTGTTTGTTTCTGAAGAAAAGGCTGTGTGAAAATATGGGCGGGGATCAGAAAAGTGTAGCTACGGCTAGGCAGAATAAGAAGATGAAGAATGGGTCTTTTGGATCCATTTTCATGCATGCCGATGCCAAAGATTGGTTTCTTATGGTTTTAGGTACCCTTGGAGCAGTTGGTGAAGGCTTGTCCACCCCTTTTGTGTTGTATATCAGTAGCGGCATGATGAATAATATTGGAAACTCGTCTAACATGGAACCAAACACTTTCGTCCATAACATCAACAAGGTTCCATCACTTTCTCTCTCTCTCTCTCTCTCTCTCATACAGAAGCTTACTGGGTTTGTTTTTATTGATGATGCAGAATGCGGTGGCTTGGTTGTTTTTGGCTGGTGCGTCTTTTGTTGTTTGCTTCCTCGGTGAGTTTCAGTTTGCAACGGTTTTTACTTTTTATTATTTCCCTTTCCATTTATTTACTCGACTTAAAAGTATTGACATTGACTCTTTTTATTATTATTATTATTTTTGGGATTTTGAGAGGGCTATTGTTGGACAAGAACAAGTGCAAGACAAGCTGCGAGAATGAGATGCAAGTATCTGAAAGCAGTACTTAGACAAGAAGTTGCGTATTTTGATTTGCATGTCACAAGCACGTCAGAGATCATCACTAGCGTCTCCAACGACAGCCTCGTGATTCAAGATGTTCTTAGTGAAAAGGTCTCATCAGTTACCAAAAATAGTTATTATTTTCTTTTAGTGCTAGCTTGCAAATTTGCTTATAACATATTATATTTGAAAATTAGGTTCCAAATTTCTTGATGAACATATCTTTGTTCGTTGGGAGCTACATAGCGGCGTTTGCAATGTTGTGGAGACTGGCCATTGTGGGGTTTCCCTTTGTAGCGCTTCTCGTGATCCCTGGGATAATCTATGGGAAAACTTTGATGGGATTGTCGAGTAAAATCAGAGAAGAGTATAATCAAGCTGGAACAGTAGCAGAACGAACAATTTCATCTATCAGAACCGTCTATTCCTTCGTGGGGGAAGGAAAGACCATAAACGCTTTCTCCGATGCTCTTCAAGGGACGGTTAAGTTGGGCCTGAAACAAGGCTTAGCTAAAGGATTAGCCATTGGAAGCAACGGCGTTGTTTTCGCTATTTGGTCTTTCATGAGCTATTATGGAAGCAGACTCGTTATGTATCACGGCGTCAAAGGAGGAACAGTTTTCGCGGTTGGAGCATCAATAGCAGTTGGTGGATTGTAATAAATTATAACTCTCCTTTATCTCATTCCGTCCATTAATTAATTCAATTTTAATATCAAACATTAAGTGTTTAATAAATTTGTGAATTGTTTTGAATAGAGGACTAGGTGCTGGTTTATCGAACGTGAGGTACTTCTCGGAAGCAAGTGCGGCAGCGGAACATATAAAGGAAGTGATAGAAAGGGTTCCCAAGATTGATTCTGACGATATGGGTGGGGAGATTTTGGAGAAGGTTTATGGGGAAGTGGAGTTTGACCATATAGAATTCGCGTACCCGTCAAGGCCAGATAGCATTATATTGAATGACTTGTGCCTCAAGATTCCCGCTGGCAAGAGTGTGGCCTTAGTGGGTGGGAGTGGCTCAGGTAAATCAACAGTGATATCACTGTTGCAGAGATTTTATGACCCACTTGGGGGAGAGATTCGTCTCGATGGGGTGGCCATTCATAAGTTGCAGCTCAAGTGGCTCAGGTCTCAGATGGGCTTGGTCAGCCAAGAACCTGCTCTGTTCGCTACCAGTATTAAAGAGAACATACTTTTTGGCAAAGAGGATGCCACGGATGATCAACTCGTTCAGGCTGCAAAAGCTTCCCATGCTCATAATTTCATTTCTCTTCTGCCTCACGGTTACCATACACAGGTCCCAACTGTTTCTCATTTACGTCAATACATTTGTTTTTCCTAAGTTGGATGCATGTTAAGTACGAATTTTGACACCTGCTACTACAATTAAATAATACTTTTTTATTATATAATGCTTATCAAGTAGCTGCATGATTAACGTTTATTATTTAATTCATTAAAATATATAAAAATAATAATCATAAAAGGTACATTAAGAATGATTAACATCTACCCTCTCAAGCTAATATGAAATATGATGAATAATTTAACATCTTGGAAAGGGAAAGGTTTTATAACGGAACAGAAATAATGCAAAATCATTGCAAGTTAATAAATAGTTTGTTTTCCTTTACAGGTGGGAGAGAGGGGGATTCAGATGTCAGGGGGACAGAAACAGAGGATAGCAATTGCAAGGGCAATAATTAAGAAACCTCGGATTCTACTCTTGGACGAAGCAACAAGCGCGTTAGACTCCGAGTCAGAACGACTCGTTCAAGAAGCACTGGACAATGTAGCTGCGGATTGCACTGCCATCATCATTGCTCACCGTTTATCCACCGTCCGAAACGCAGACGTCATTGCCGTCGTTGGAGGCGGAAAGATCGTAGAGATGGGCTCGCACGACGAACTAATCCAAAACGACGATGGCGTCTACGCCTCCGCGTTCCGTCTCCAGCAACAAACAGAGCAATCTAAAATAGAGGAATGTGCGGAAACGGTTATTCCTGGAATTGTCCCTTCTGCGACGTCAATAACCGACACGGAAAACATGGGCCCTTTGAGCCCAACGCTTTCGTCACATAATGACAATGACCTGGCAGAAGGGAAGAAACAACCGGCGCCGTCGTTTAGGAGATTGCTGGCGCTGAGTGTTCCCGAGTGGAAGCATGTCGTTTTGGGTTGTTTGAACGCGATGATGTTCGGGGCCGTTCAGCCTGCTTACGCATTCACGATGGGTTCTGTCATACTTTCGTATTTTCACCCGGATCATGAGGAGATAAAGAGGAAGAGTAGAATGTACTCGTTCTGCTTTTTGGGCCTCTTTGTATTGTCTTTGCTTGCTAATATTGGGCAGCATTATTGCTTCGGTTACATGGGGGAGTACTTGACCAAACGGGTGAGAGAGAAAGTGCTTTCCAAAATCCTTACGTTTGAAGTTGGGTGGTTTGATTTGGACGAAAACTCCAGTGGCGCCATTTGTTCCAGACTTGCCAAGGATGCTAATGTGGTAAGTTTCTATTTCCTCATTTTTCTTGTGTCTTAAATTTTATCATCTCCTCTGTATACTCTTTTTTCTTTTCTAATTTGAGTAAGTGTGAGTGAGATAATGACAACACTAAGAGAAGTTTTTAAAAATCTCCCAACAATCCCTCTTTTAAAATTTGTTTTCTCTTTAATTTTCTTTTCTTTCTTTAACGGTAAAAGATAGTGTAAGGAGTAATGTAAGGAAAAAGGTAGGTTGATATCATGACTGTTTAAAATTTTGTTGTTTGGTACGTTAAATTCCTAGCTATACATGTATCTATCTACATGCAATGGCTATCGTTGTCGGTGAGAATTTTCTGTGTGTAGTTTCTTTCAGAAAAGGTTTATCGTGTGGATTAAAGTTAGCCAAAGGTTATTCACAATCTCGAGTTGTGCTTACAGCTTCCCCCGTACACTTTTTCTTTTTGAGAAAAAGGGGGAAGGCTCCACCTCACTTTCCGTTCCGTAATTTTCATTCTTAATTTTTCATAGAGAAGGTACTTATAAGGACATAAATATGAACTCGAGGTATATTTTGGTAGGTTGAATAACATTTCTCTCTTGCAAATCATTAAATATTTAAGAACACATTATTTATTTCTAACCAATCAAAAAGAATATTAAATATTCTAGTCTACTTAAGGAAATGAATTTAATTTGCCTACTAATCATTAACGGAACATACGTGTGTTATCAATTTCTTTCTCGTTTTGTTATAGCTTTTCTTAAAGGCCTTACTAATTGGTTAAAAATTTAATAAATAGTAATTATTTATAGAATCATGTTATGATGCATTAAAATTTATGATAGTGAATGTATTTTAATGTTTTTCAATAAAAAATATTTTAAACTTCTGAACAAATATTCCAGATACTAGTTAACATTTTCTTTTTCTTAAAATGTCTTATAATTAAAACCAAATTCAGAAAACGCAAAGAGGATAATATTTACTATTTAATTGCATATTGTCAGTTTATTTGAATTTATTAGTAATAACAGACACTTAACTAATTAAAATGTTTTTAAAATGTGTATGAACATATATAATTTAGTGACTTAATAATAAATTAAAAGCAGAAATATAAGAGGCATGGAACGAGGCCGTGCGACTGGTGTCACGAGTCATGACTGAAGAAAGTGAAAGTTGGCACGCTAGATTATTTCCTCGTCGTTATTTGCCGCCAAACCGGGTTTAGTGCCCAACGCACGCTTTGTTTTTTAGCGTTATCTTCATTTAACTTTTTGTACGTTAATTGCTTGGTATAGTTGCTACGATATCTGACTTGTGATTGCCAGTGAGTGACTGAGTGAGATTGTGAATCGATTCCTGACAATTTTCTGTTTTGGTGTTTGTTTGTGGTGTGAAGGTGAGATCTTTAGTGGGGGATAGAATGGCTTTGCTAGTACAAACATTTTCAGCGGTAGTAACAGCCTACACGATGGGTATTGTCTTTTCGTGGCGGCTTTCCATTGTTATGATAGCCGTACAACCCATTATCATAACATGCCTTTACACAAGGCGTGTCCTTCTCAAGAGCATGTCCAACAAGGCCGTTAAGGCCCAACAACAAAGCAGCAAGCTAGCTGCTGAAGCTGTTTCCAACCTCCGAACCGTCACTGCCTTCTCTTCTCAAGACCGAATCCTAAAACTACTCGATAAGGCCCAGGAAGGACCAAGCCGTGAGAGCATTCGACAATCTTGGTTCGCTGGTGTTGGGCTTGGATGTTCCCAATGCGTCGCATCTTGTATTTGGGCCCTAAACTTTTGGTATGGGGGCAAGCTTATCTCTTATGGATACATAACAATAAAAACATACTTTGAGAGCTTCATGGTTTTGGTGAGCACGGGACGGATCATTGCAGATGCAGGAAGCATGACCAGTGACCTCGCCAAAGGTGCTGATGTTGTGGGCTCAATTTTTTCTATCTTAGATAGGCGTACGAAAATTGAGCCTGATGACCCAAATGGGTACAAGCCAGAAAAGTTAATTGGCCGAATTGAACTTCATGGTGTGTATTTTGCGTACCCAACTAGGCCTAACGTGGTTATATTCCAAGATTTCTCAATCAAAATCGAAGAAGGGAAATCAACGGCGTTGGTGGGGCAAAGTGGGTCTGGCAAATCAACAATCATTGGGTTAATAGAGAGGTTTTATGATCCGGTGAAAGGAATGGTGACAATAGATGGTGTAGACATAAAATCATATAACCTAAAGTCACTAAGAAAGCAGATAGCACTTGTGAGCCAAGAGCCAGCATTGTTTGGTGGGACCATAAGGGAGAACATTGCATATGGAACATGGGACAAGGTTGATGAGGCTGAGATCATAGAGGCAGCAAGAGCAGCCAACGCTCATGATTTCATATCTAGCTTAAAGGACGGGTACGAGACATGGTGTGGTGAAAAAGGAGTACAACTTTCGGGGGGTCAAAAGCAGAGGATTGCAATAGCCAGGGCAATATTAAAAAATCCGAAAGTGTTGCTTTTGGACGAGGCCACAAGCGCATTAGACAGTCAATCAGAGAAGGTTGTGCAAGATACGCTTATGAGAGTGATGATAGGAAGGACCAGCGTGGTGGTGGCTCATAGGTTGAGCACCATACACAATTGTGATGTTATTGCTGTGTTAGAAAAGGGGAGGGTGGTGGAGATTGGAACCCACTCGTCTTTGTTGGCCAAAGGACCATGTGGAGCTTATTACTCTTTGGTAAGTGTTCAAACGAGACATGCAGCCACAGCCAATACCTCTACTATTAGAGGTTCCAAATCTATCAATTAAGCAAGCCAAATTACCAAGTTGTCTTTGTCTGCTTGGGATTGCTAGCAACTAGACCTCCTTTCTGAGGTTGATGGGTGATAGCTAGTGATAAAGATTATATGCGCTGGTCATAGATGAAGGCAACCGAAGGAAGTGGAAGATAGCTAGTATGTTACCTTTCTTATTTTTGTATTATGTCATATCCCGAACGACTTCCATGTTTAAATAATATAATGTATATATCTATGATATGAAGTAGAATACTTTTGACAAATGGTGTGAGGATTTCTTTCTATGACTAGATTAGATTAATACGTTACACCCTTTACAAAGTTTCATTTCGACCCTTTATTTTAAAAATCGGATAGAATTAAATAATATTAAGTATCATGCATAAAATAACGCATCTAATAATTTTTAGTACAATTTAAAAATCTAATTGCTGACTTTAAAGTTTTTAGAAAGTGTATTAGACCTATAAATTTTTACATATTCAAAAATTATTTGATACCTTGTTATCTCACTTTTTTTAATATGTAATATATTTAAAATATAATCAAATAATTATTATTGAATAATATATTTATAAATATCTAAATTCGAAAAAATTATAAATGCGTACAGAATCACACAATATTATATAAATCAAATGTTGGGTTGATAAAATTTTATTTCGATAACAAAATAATTAAAAGTATTATTTTACTGGGTTTGCAAAGATGACAGCGGGATGGGGTGGACAGGATGGTTGCTACCTGCTATCCATGAGCGAATATTTATCCCATATATTGGTAGGTATCTATCTACATATATTCACTGATATTTGTTAAAAAAATATGAAAAAAGAGATTCAATATCTTGAAAATAATCTAACATACACCCATGCAAAAAAAAAATTCTACAGTAAATTTTTATATCAGATAATAATTAATAATTAACTGATTTAATGAAAAGCACAATAATATTTTTAAAAATAATATAAAATCTTTAACATCAGTTATTAAAAATGATATTTTTAAACTTTTTCTAAAAATGATGATGCAAAAAATATTTCAAAAAATTAGAAAAAATGAGAAAAAATGTTGAAATAGACATATAATTTATATAAATCAAAATTTTATGCTAAAAGTTATGTCTCTTTGTTTGGAGTAAGAAAAATTTTCTAAGTTATTAAATCTCCTATCAGATTTTCATGATAAAAAATAGACTATGTTCTTTTAAAGAAATTTGAAGAATTGCAGAGCCTCTTCAAGAAGGTCATATTTCGAGTAATTTTGACAAACATGAAGAGGTACAAAACTAGTCAAAAACTAAGATTGACAAGAAAATTATTCTAAGTTCATAAGATTGAAAGCTTTTTTGAAAAGTTTATGAGGATTTTCTAGTTTCTAGACTGAAAATAACAAAAATTGGTCAAAAAATAGGACTAACAAAAAAATTATTCATTTATAAACTCAACAAAGATTAAATTTTAAATAAATATTGACAAACATTAATACTATTGACATTAACGACCATTGATATCATTAAAAATTTGTTTGTAAAACTGCCAAAAAAGCATTAACGTCGTTGACAAATAAAACCACTTTCTACATCAATTATTCATAATGTAAAAAGTCACAATTTTTTTACAATGTTTGTAAAAAGTTTAAATTTTCTATATTGGTTATATCTACGTTGATTTTCTAATTTATATAAAATGTCTTTTTTAATGGACATAAAAAGCTTTTTTTTTTTCACTAGTAATAGAGTATTTTGCATATAAAAATAAATTTTAAAATATAACATATGTAATTATAAAAATAGTATAATTCTTTTTGTTATAACAACGAAACTGTTAAGTTTACTCTTTTTTTTTTAAATTTTTCATCCAGTTTAATTTGGATCCGACTCGAGTCGCACACTTGAGTATGGTAAGCAAGTCTATCGTTAGAAATTTTTTGCATACATAAGAGCTCAAATTTAAGATCTTACTTAAGCGATATCAAGCTACTTGCCTCTTGAACTAATTTCTAGTAAGTTTGCTTTTATATACTTAAGAATCTTTTAATTTGATGTATTCTAGTATCATTTGTACAGTACCTCAATATTCACCACCACCTCATTGGTAAGTGAAAAAAATCTATTTAATTAATTATACTAGCAAACATTTATAGGTGCAAATATTTTTATCCACAGCGAATTTACTCACAAATATTCCGAAATGAAAACAGTTTTTATCGTCTCCAGATATTTAGTTTCATTTGATTCTGCTATGTAAAATTTAAAAAACTTATAAATTCTTACCATCAAAACTCATTTTAAAAAATTATAACAATACTCTAACAAAAGGAGAATTCATAGAAATTTTTGAAATATAAATCCCTTTACAAATTTCTTATGTCTCTAAAACTTCAAAGAATTTAATGGGGTTATTAAGTCCACTCCACCTTAAGTGTTTATGATCACTGCTCTGACAATATATAATTAATTAAAATATAAAATCACAAGCATTTCAGTCGTAAATTTTAAATGCATAAGAACTTAATTATAAGCCTTCAAAAGAATAATATAACTTACATATCATTTTAACAATATTGTAAGGCTGATATATTAAAAGTGAGTTTAGAAAGACTTTTCTGTTAGCTAAAAGTTTATTTGGCTAATTAAAAATGTTCTTTAATAAACATAAATATATTTGACAAAATACCTGAATTATGTAGTTATTAACATTCTTTTAAAAAAATACTTTAACTAGCCTTTAATAAAAATAAACCTATTTGCTAATTTTCATTTACTAACTTACCTATTTAATAGAAAACTACTCTAGTCTTGACTATTTTGAATAATTTCTCATTTATTCTTTCGATTTTTTAAATTTTAATACTTCTATAAAAACATCCTTATCATCCTATTCTATACTGTAAAATATTTATAAAAAGAGTAAAAAAATTATTATTCTACTTTTTAAGATAATAAATGATTTTAACTAAATTAAAATATACAATTTAAATTTTTTTAAGAATATATAATTATCAATGCTTTTAATTTTAGTTTAGTAATTAATAATGTCTTTATATTTCATTTTATATTTTTTTCTTAAAATATATCATTTTACCTTTATTAATTAATTTCATTAAACATTTTCAAATCAGTTAGTTTTTTAACTATTAATTTTTATTTCTTTGCTAGTTTATTTGCTAATTTTTACAAACATCCTAAATTTGAATTCTAACTCATGAGAATAGAGATTTTTCAAAATCTATGATTATTCATTTTAATGTGTCAAGTTGTTTTTTCTGTTAAATTTATCATAATATGTTATGTTTATTTTTAAATATTATTTATTATATTTATTCTATTCCAATTTATGTTATTCTTAACATTAAAACTTTTACTTTTATAAAATTTGAGTTTATAAAATTTAAAATGTATTTTATATTTTTAATTAATTTCATTTAAAAAGTTCTATATCTTTAATTATAAAATAAAATTAATATTATACTTTTTACTTATTTAAAGCATGTAATGTTTCTGTTAAGGATACACTAGTCTTCCGTAGTCTCTCCTCTTGTCATCTCATGTGACGTCTTTGTAGAATATTTTAGAAGGTAATAAATGCACTCTGATGATGAAGTCAGTATTCGGTGTATGTTAATAAATGCTATTTAATATTCAAAAGTCAACCTTTTACTTGTACTTTTTACTTTCCATTTATAAAAAATATATTGGGCTAATAGGCTTCATGACTCAGCCCTATCTTAACCTTTTGATTTATTCAAGTAATTAGCCTTTTTCTTCTTAATTATTTACTATTAATCTTTTACTTATTTTAATTAGGCCAAAAGGGTACTGATATCCTTCATCCTAGTGTTAGACTGAAGGGGTATTCAATTTTATTTTCCAATGGTGATGACCGAAGTGTCTTATCCAACACACTTGTCCTCCTAAGCCTGAGGATGTATGACGTAAGGGCTTTCGAAGTTGATCTGTGGGCTACTCATTACTTTTGTTGTTGATGTATATTTTTCACTTATATAGGTCGAATGGGCATAGGTACCCTTCGGTGCTGGTTAGCCTGAGGGGGTACTCAATTTCTTGTTTGTATGGTTCTTGTTTATTGGTGTTAGGCTGAAGGGGTACTCGGATTCTTGTTTGTGTGAGAATGACCAAATATCTAGTAAGAGTTTCGTGTTGGCAGATTAAGGTTTCAGCAGATTAAGGTTGCAACAAATTTAGGGTTTCATCGTAGTTTGTGCTTTGAAACGAAAGATTGCACGTGTATAGCCGTTAATCTAAGAAGAGATATGACGGTTGAGAGAAGGGGTGACCCTTCATCTACCTGAAGTCGTGTGTTCTATAAAAATTGTGAATACCTAATTTTATCCGGGTCCCATCCAAAAATAAATAAATAAATACATAAATAATAAAATCAAATAAAATAAAAATTAGGTAAGATTTTAAATTTTAGGTTTATAAAAGGTTAGGATTTTAAATTTTAAATTTTAAATATGTAGATATTAAGGTTAGTGGAGAAAAAAGTGATTAGTTGGTAGATTTAAAGGAAATAGATGAGATGTTTAAGGAAAATGTAAGAGGTGGCCATCAAAAAATAGGAAGGTGGAACCTTTTTTTAAAAAAATAAAAAATAAATAAATTAAATAGGATCTAGGGTTAGGAGGTGTGGCTATAAATAGGAAGCTTAGGTCTTTAGAGGGAGGACTTTTACACTTTATTTTTTTACAAGACACTTTGAGAGCATAGGGAGAAAAATAGAGAGAATCTAGAGAGATAGCTCGGGGAACAAAGAGAAAGAGGAGAGAGCTAAAAAGAAATCAACTGAGAGCATACCAAGGCACATCTAAGGTCAACAGAGAGAATAAACCAAAAGAGTTGAAGGATAAAGTCAACGAAATTCTTATTCTTCAGGTCAAGTAAGATTTCCTTTTTGTCGTTTTGTTCTTCATATATTATTTTGCTCTTATTTCTGCTTGTGTATTTTTTGTTTATATTAAAAGTCTCGAGTTTTGTTTCTAAACAAAATATCTTTTCATCTATTATCTTGCTCTCATTTCTTCCTTCTATTCATATTAAAAGTCTCATATTTTATTTCTAAACAAAAAAATCTCGTTCTTTTAGTATGCGTACTTTGCTTTCAGTTCTGCATTTCTCTTGTTTTGTTTGTTCACACTAAATGCATCGACCCTTTTCTAAATAAAATTGTCTCTTTTTTGCAAACCCTAATCTTCTCGAACCCTAAAAAAATCTTTAAAAAAACATTATT